GGCCTGCACCTCTCGCAATCCAGGACCCCTCGGGGGATATCAGAGAGCTGGTTTTGGACCGATCCCACGGGCCAGGCCAAGGGACCCCACTAGTGCACGAATTTGGGCACCGGGCCTCTAGTAGTACAATAATTGTAAATAATAATGCAAGAATAAACTGTGTTTCATATGCTCACAACCGTAAGCCTACTTTTATCCGACCCCGTATTAAAATGTGGGGGGAAAACAAAAGGTGGGTCTCAGATCAAGGGACTGGGGTTCAGTGGGTTTTGCGCTGCTTCTCATGGCAATGGCTGTGGTCAGTCGCCCAGTGACCCTGCGCGGCGCTGACCCAATGTTCTGGGTGACCCTGGACCAGAGATCCCAAACTGGCACTAGTAACATTCGGGTGGGTAATGCTTTGTGCTGGAGCTGTGCTAGCCTGTGCATTGTGGGTGGTAGCAGCATCCCTGGCCTCAGCCCACCGGTGCCTGTAGCACCTCCCCGAATGGTGACTGCCAAAACGACGGACATCGCCAAATGTCCCCTGGTCCGCAAAAACTCCCCGAGCTGAGAACCATTGCACTAGAGCCGGAGAAGTTTAACAAGCAAGGACAGCGTCCCCCTCCTCGTGGTTCCAACGCTCCAAAAATGTTACGTGGAAAATTCCAGAAAGAAACAATTTGTAGTTTTAAATTGCTTGCCATTCTGAGTAGCTTGACGAAACCTTGCCCCGCCCTGCTCCGTGACCATCCCTATGTGCGGAGTCTCCACGTGGTATGTGCTTCCACCGTTAGTCACTTAGCGCTCGGTTCTCCAACGGCTGTCACGGTGCCGCGGTGCTGTGTTCGTCACCCTTACCTTACTGATAACGCCACATTCGTGCAACTTTTATAACAGTCCATTTTCGTAATTGTTCTGTTGGTTTTAGTTCTTGTTGTTAATCTCTTACTGTGCCTAATTTACAAATTAAACTTTATCACAGGTATGTGCGTATGTATGTGTAGAAAAAACAGTATATACAGCGTTTGGTACTAAATGCGATCTCAGGCCCCTCGCAGACGGAGGGAACTGCCGTGTGTATTGCAAACAAGCAAAGGACAGAAGCCCCTAGAGGGGCGTCTCCTCTTAAGCCTTCTGAGCCCTCGGGACACTGCTGTGCACGTGAGTTTCTGAAGGGGAGTGAAGAGGTTTCCAACCGTCTTTGACGGCAAAGCCCTTTTTGGCAGAGAACTTGACAGACTGAGGCTGCCCCGACTTCCCCTTGGGAGACCCTGCCCTGGGCCCCTGGAGGGAGGGGCAGAGGAGGCAAAGTCGGCATCGGCACACTCACTCTAACACCTTGGCCACTGGGCCAGTTCTCATCCCTGAGTCTGACCCTCTCCCCCTCTCCAGCTTCCCCGGCCACACTCCGAGCAGCAGCACCCAGCCCAGGGCAGGCAGACTGGGCTCTCGCTGTGTTTGTCGGGGAAAGGCAGGAATCTGTCACACCCAGCCCTCAGCCCAGGGGGTCTGAGCCAACTCCCCCTCCCCCCCCCCCCCCCCCCCCCGGCCCCCCTCCCAAAACAGTGGGAAAGGGACAGGATGCGGCCGGGGAACAGCATCAGGACAGCAGGCTTTGGAGAGGCGACCCCACTGACTCAGAGGACAAGTTCCCCGACCAGGTTCGCCAGCACAGCAGGCTTGGCTGTACCCGCCTGGCACCTCTATGTGCTCGGGCTCCTCTGCCCGGGTCCCTGTCCTGCCTGCGTGGGCCACTCTGGGTTCCTTTCTCGTGTCTGGCTGGCCTGGAGCCCGCCAGGACAGAGGGCCGACTCCCCTCCCTAAGCACCTGAGCGGGAGTGAGGTGAGCTATCAGGGCAATACCATCCGGCCAAGCAACAGGCTTGTGGGGCCTCCTTTCCCTCCAGGCCCCTCCCTGGGATTGGTTCTTAAGCTCATCCGTCAGGTTTCAGACCCCGGGATCCAGAGTCTTGACCTTCCCAATCGTGACCCCAAAGCAGTACGTGCACAGTACCTGTCGGAGGCAGGGGGCTCCTGTGAGTGCCAGGGCTGGCCGGAATCCCAGAACCGCTGGGGCGCTCCCAGGTGGTCTCTGGTGGGAGAAAGGAACAAAATCGCGTTCAGAATTTCATAAGTAGAACCTGAGAGGACGACAGAGCAGAGCTACTAGTAGGTGGTCAGAGCTGAAAAAAATAGTCCTGGCCACTCACCTTCCTCCCTAAACCCAGGGACGAGGAGCCTGCTTTGGGCTGCCACACCCTTCCCACCTCCCATGACGACAGAATTCTCTTTGCTGGGGACCCTTCTCCACAGCTGGCACCAGAAGGGGGTGGCTTTCCAGCTGGGATCCCCTGAAAGGTTCCCCCAAGGCCCCTCCCGCTCTTATCCCCAAAGGCTGCTAACTCATGGGCCTCCTGGAACCCTTCTGTCTCTGGTCCTGGAACCCTACCTGCCCACTGGGCCTTCCCCCCAAATGCCATTGTCACATGAAACCCCAAAGCATAGAGGAAAGAGCCCTGGCCTGGGGGCCTGCACGGAGACATGGTCCTCTGTCAAAGGGGGTGATTCCCGCCCTCCGTCCTGTTTGAATTATAGCTGCTGGCCGGGCTGGCCTCCCTTCCGGTGCCCAGCTGCTCGGTCCAGCCAGGAGCAAAGCCGTGGCTGCATCTATATTATTGTCCCCTGAGCACTACTTTACCCATTTCACCGCTAGGAACAGGCTTCTGATCAAATTATCTGGTGATGAGAAATAGAACTTTCTTACCATGTAACATTGGGTGCAACAGAAAACCACAACGAAGAAATGTCGCCCATAACCCTACAACTTGGAGGTCATCACAACACTTCGGTATCTATATGTCCATTTGTTCCTTAGAGCAAAAGCATACCGCACGTTCTTTTCATGAATAGGCTTTTGTGAGTATCTTTCCAAAATCACTTAAGGTGCCAGGTAGTCTAGAGGTTAGGACCTACTCACAGTAGGGGGTCTTACCTCCTCACCCCACAGTGCCTGAGTCCGAGTCCCAGCTCTGCCTCTTACCACCAGTGTAACCCTGGCCAACCTAATTGTGCTCTCAGTGCCGCAGTTTGCTCCTCTGGAAATGAGGTCAATAATGGTATCTACCCAAGACAGTCCTCGTATTCAGGCCACATGCCCATATACAAGTGCTTAGCATAAAGTTCTTTTTAAAGTTGGCCCAATAGCCTTGGCCGGGTTGCTCAGCTGGTTGGAGCATTGCCCAGTACACCAAAAGGTTGCAGGTTCATTCCCTGGTTGGGGCGTGTAGAGGAGGCAACCAATAGATGTTTCTCTCTCCCACTCTCCCTTCCTCTCTCTCTAAATATCAATCAATAAAAATCATATCCTTGGGTGAGGATTAAAAGAGATAAAAATAAAAAAAAATAAAGTGAGTCCAATGTATGAATATAACATTAGTTAATAAAAAAATCCTAATCCTGAAAATGCAATTGTCTCAAATCTTAAAAATAAAAACAAGCAAAACTCTTTTAATGACTTCTCTCCATCAGGATTCACAAGAACTGGGTTTTTGCCTCAGCTCTGCCTCTATGTCTGCTGTGCTGCCCAAGGCAAGACACTCTGCCTCTCTGGTCCTCCAATTCTTAACCCAAAAAGAAGGGGCTGGGCTAACTGGTCTTTTAGGCCTCAGTCCTCCTGCCCTGTAGCTTTGATTGGTGATCTTAAAATCTGAAGACCCATGTGCTGACTGGCTCTCAGACACCAAGATGTGGAGACCCCACCAGGCTTGCCACAGAGACAATGCAGATGCCTGAAGGATCTGTCCCTGCCCGTCCTGGTCTTGGCCAGCTCTGACCAAACACAAAGTCACTGTGAGCCCGGGGCTGGAGTGAGGCCGGGCCAAGCAGACATCTGGAGAGACCACCAGGGCTCTGGCTGCGTGACCTCAGCAGTAGCAGGAAAAGCCGCCCCAGCTGACCATACCACCCACAGGGAGGGAGCCATTTCCAGGTCTTTTGCAATAAAAGACTCGCTAATCCATTTACAGCAGGCCAGGCCCCTTGACCAAGCCAAAGCAAAACTGCCTGGCAGCTCGGCCCATGCTACTCTGAATTGAAGCCCTTTTGCATTCTCTGGGGTTCCATTCCTGGGGTTCCAGGTGACCATCCAGACTCCTAACAGAGTCGCTGCCATGCAGATCCCAAAGGCTCTGGGACACGGTACAGTCAGAGTGGAAGAAGTGAGACCTTCTCTCAGAAAGTCCCGTCCAACCCAAGTCACGAGAACACATTTTTTCTTAAAGGCAACTCCAACTCATTCAGGCCTCCACCACGGACACCAGGGCGGCCCAGCACACACACACACACACACACACACACACGCACTGACTGCGGATCAGACCAGCCGAGGGAGGCTGCCACTCCAGCCCTCGAGGCCACAAGCCAGAAATGGCCATTTCCCCCTCCGAGGGGTGTCCTTTTCCTCTCCTTGGCTGCCCCGTGTAGAATAGAACTTTTAAAGAGGAAGTACACCTGAAAGGTGGAAAGTGATGTAAATTTCAGACCACAGATGTGCCCTCCTTAAGACAACAACAATAGTAACACTAACAATGAACAGTGCATGAGGGAGAAGTAACGCTCCACAGTCACTTCTGGTCTTCGTTCCCCCTTGTCAAGACGAGTCCTGTTTACACTAGAGCAGTGATGGCGAACCTATGACACGCGTGTCAGAGGTGACACACGAACTCATTTTTGTGGTTGATTTTTCTTTGTTAAATGGCATTTAAATATATAAAATAAATATCAAAAATATAAGTCTTTGTTTCACTATGGTTGCAAATATCAAAAAATTTCTATATGTGACACGGCACCAGAGTTAAGTTAGGGTTTTTCAAAATGCTGACACGCCGAGCTCAAAAGGTTCGCCATCACTGCACTAGAGGCATTGGCAACCAGCCCCTGGGCCTAGGACGCTGGTCATGGTGATTTGCCTTAAGCCCACCTGTGAGCCACCCCTTACTCCCCTAATCCCCCCACCCACAGGCCAGTGGACTCCTGCTCCTGATTGGCCCATTTCCTTGGCTGTGGGGTGGCTCTCTGCTGCCCCCAGTGGCTATCAGGTGAAATAACCCTAGGTACCAGCCCAGGGGAAATTCAGCTTTCTGGTACTGGCTGGAACCTGGGATTCCTGTAGTCCCCTCCTCTTTGCCTCTTTTTAGACTCCTCTTTCTGGGTTTCTCACTTTCTCTGCTCCCCCACCTCTTGTTTCTTCCTCTCCCTTGTTTGGTGGTGGCCCCGACCGTGGCTTCTCTTCTGGCCCCTGTTTTCCTCACCAGGAGGGTCTGCTGGACTCAGGTTTTCCTAGATTGACGGTAGCCCCACTGCTCCCTTCTCCAGCTCTTGTTCCTCCTCATCTGGAAGCTCCATTTCTATGAGGCTGCTCTGCCATGTCCTCTACCCCAAGCAGGAAGGAGAGTCCCAGGAGAACAACAGGAGCCCCGTGCCCTGGTCCAGGGGGGCAGCCCTCTGAGAATGCCGGCTGCAGGGAGCCGTGGGCAACGTGAGCACCCGGAGGGCCTGTGCAGCTGGTGAGCACCCCGAGGGCCTGCGCAGCTGGGTGAGCACCCGGAGGGCCTGCACAGCTGGTGAGCACCCGGAGGGCCTGCACAGCTGGGTGAGCACCCCCAGGGCCTGCACAGCTGGGTGAGCACCCCCAGGGCCTGCACAGCTGTCCAGGACTCTCAGCAGCACAATCTGTGGTCCCCTCCCAGCACCAGTGCTTCCTTGGCCCTGGCTTTGTAATCACTTTACCAGTAGGGGGCTCTGGCTGCAGGATATGCCTACCTCCTTCCTAAAGTTAAATCAGAAACTACTGCTCTCTGAGCCTCCATCTGTGCCGGGCCCATCTCGAGTCCCCCCACATTGCGTGTCTCCTTCAGAGGTCACAAAACACTATGAAACGGGTGCTATTGTTTCTACTTTTTGTGGAAGAAACTGAGGCCTCAGGAGAAAGAGCAGAGCTGGGACTCAGTGTGACAGCAAAGTCTGCCACGGTAGCCACACCAACACCTCTGAGCTCTGCGCTGGGGGCTCTGGGAGCTGCGGCCAAACTGGGCTGTTTGAGTCTATACACCACTCTTTACTGGAGAACCACCGCAAAATTAGTATTATTATGTTAATTCAATATAATATGATAAATTTATAATAAATTATTATAATAATACTAGAGGCTCGGTGCATGAAAATCGTGCACTGGTTTGTGTGTGTGTGTGTGTGTGTGTGGGGGGGGGGGACTGGCCTGTGCTCTCTCGAAGTCCGGGAGCCCTTGGGGGTATGTCCAACTGATGGCTTAGGCCCGCTCTCTGGGGAGCAGGCCTAAGCCGTCAGTTAGACATCCTTAGTGCTTCCATGGAGGTGGGAGAGGCTCCTGCCACCACCGCTGCACTCACCAGCTGTGAACCTGGTTTCTGGCTGAGTGGCCCTCCCCCTGTGGGAGCGCACTGACCACCAGGGGGCAGCTCCTGCATTGAGCGTCTGCCCCCCAGTGGTCAGTGCGCGTCATAGCGACTGGTCGTTCTGCCTTTCGGTTGATTTGCATATTAGCCTTTTATTATATAGGATAATAAATTATTTATTATAAACATTAGAAATATTTATTAGAGATGATTTTACATATAGATATATTATTAGCATATTTGGCACTATATCTGGCACTGTTCTTGGCACCGGAGACACTGCAGGCCTTTGACAGGGCAAACTCCCTCCTCCTTCTTCAGTTACATTCTTATGGTCATGATACTATTGTATTTTTGAATATCAATATACTAGAGGCCCGGTACACGAAATTCGTGTACTCGGGTTTGGAGGGGTCCCTCAGCCTGGATTGCGAGAGGGCGCAGGCCAGGTCAAGGGACCCCACCGGTGCATGATCAGGGCCGGGAGGGACAGGGAGGTTGGCCAGCCAGAGAGGGACCATGGGAGGGCTCCAGGGCATGTCTGGCCCTCTCACTCAGTCCCAATCAGATGGACCACAGCAGCAGGCTAACCTACAGGTCAGAGTGTCTGCCCCTAGTGGTCAGCGCACGTCATAGCCAGTGGTTGAATAGCCTTAGTATATCATTAGCATATTACGCTTTGATTGGTTGAATGGCCGACCAGACCACCAGACACTTAGCATATTAGGCTTTTATTATATAGGATAACATTTTTGATGAAAGGAAATCTAAAATATTTCTAATGGGGGTGAAGGGAGGAAGTCATACCAGGAGACAGGTAATAAGTATGTAAGACATGTTAGGTTAGAGGGTGGTGTGTTCTGAAGAGAATAAAGCAGAGAAGTGGGTAAGAAGTGTTATTAGGAAGGGATATAATTTGGTCAGGTGGCTTCGGAAGGCCTCGCTAAGAAAGGCACATTTAGTAGTATCTGTTGCTGCATCACAAATTACCCTAAATTTAGCAGCTTAAATCAACAAGCATTCATTGTCACCTGGGTCGGTGAGTCAGGACTCGGGAGCGGCTGAGCCTGGCACTTCTGGCTCGGGCTCTCCCATGGGGCTGCAGTCTGCATCCATTACCTCTTACATCATCGAGGGCTTGACTGGGGCTGGAGGCGCCACTTCCAGGTGGCTCCCTGGCCACCAGCAGGAGCCAAAGTTGCGCGCAAACACACACACACACACACACACACACACACAGCAGCTGCTTGCCCTGAGGGCGCGAGCTGAGATGTCTTTATAATCCAGCCTCAGAACTGACTCTCTGTGAAGACTTCCCACTTCTGTGGGTCACACAGCCCAATCCTGACAGAAGGTAAGGGACTCACACCGACATGTGCGACAGGACGTGGGGGCACTGGGGCCGCGTATGAAGCTGGTGGCTGCACAAATGGAGGAACAAGCTACGCACATATCTGAGGGAAGAGAAGTCCAGGCCGAGGGAACAGGAGAGGAAAAGGCTCAGAGACAGGCACATGTCTGCCATCTACAGAGAGCAGCAGGATGGATGGCGTGGCTGAAGAGGCTGTAAGTAACAGGGGCTGGAATGGGTCGCCCAGGGCCACGGTTCTCAAAGCGGGATCCCCAGACCAGCAGCACAGCATCCCCTGGGTTTTGTCAGATGTGCACGTTCTCAGCCCTAAGACAATGAGTTCCTGCATTCGAAACTCTAAGGAGGACCCTGTGGCCTATGTTTCCACCAGCCCCCCAGTGATTTGGGTGCTTGCCCAGGTTTAGGAACCACTGCTCAAGGTCTTCAAGGTCATGGTGAGGACGGGCTCTTATTCTGAATGTAGGGACAGTCACTGCAGAGTTTGGAGCACAGAAGTGACAGGATCCAATGGCTGCTGTGCCAGGACCTGCGACAGAGGAGGCTCCGGGACAGAGCAGACACGTGCCTCAGTATGCCGGGCGCCCAGCTGGGTCATCTGTCAATGCCGCCTCTGCCTGGCCAGCCTGTCACTCCTGCAGAGGCCAGACAAGCTCGGGAAGAGGGAGAGGGAGAGGCAGGGCTGGTCCCTGTGCCACAAGTGGGGCACGGCCCATCCAGGGGCCTTTACCACGCTGCAGCGGCACTGGCAGCGCTGCCTCCACCAGGGGCCGGGACACTGTGGATCTGGGGTGCCTCAGGCAGGGTTGGGGAAAGGGGTGCCCAGGCAATGGCCCCCTCAGCTCTGGAGCCCTACTCCCGTGCTGCTTTCAGACCCTGCGAGTTGCTTCTTGAGTGATCTAGTACCATCAGGAAGGGCAGCTGGACTGGGAGATTCTTGCTTGGGAAGCTTCATCCAGATTCTCCCCCCCCCCCCGCCCCACCATGGGGCTTCCACTCTGCCCCACCTGTCCACACACAGCGCCGACCCTCGGAAGGGGCAGCAGGCGAGCTCTC